TACGCAGGTGCATGGTATGCGATTTCGCATACGACAGTGTAGTGAGAGTGAGAAGATATGATGTGGGCACGCAATGTCGGGGGGATGCAGTTGCACTTCCGAACGACTGTACGTCTTACGTGGATATTGGCGCAGTCTGTGGTTTCTTTATTCTTGTCATTTGCTCTCAATCAACATATTCAGCATCTCCTGTCACATTTACCAGGTGCTGTTTAGACCAGGTCTATACCACTACCCATAGTCTCGGTCGAATTCAGTGCGTTAATTCACTCAAAGCTAGCCTCGTGGGCCGCTATCCGTGAGAGCTTAGTCGGGTCTGGGCATTGCTTCCTATTTCGTCGCCCGAACTTGCCTTTCTGGGAGAATAAGCTTGCCACCACAACTTAAAATCATGAAGTGTCCGCGGACCTGTCTTGGACGTGACTTGAACAGATAGCTTGCGACATGCCTTCCTCATAGTCATCGCGGCATTTGGCTCAGCAAAGCAGGAGACATCCACCACACACATACACAAGGCTTGACTACTCCGAAATGTCCTATTACCTCTCTCTACTGGACAGCAACGTTTGTTTCGCAGGAAAAAGGAAGGTGCAACGTTACCCATAGGCTCGTGCGCTACCCCGATGACGGCTCGATAACGGCTGAAAGCAAGGCTATTGTTGTCTGAACTAGAGACTCGAGCATGCCCTCGAGGAAATGTCACATCCGTAATTGTACGACCGCACTTAGCTTGTGCATCCTCTAGATTGCACTGTTGCAGGTGTGACCACGCACACTGTTCGACTCGATGTACCGGGAAGCTTTCCAGAGCCAATGCAACACTGGTACCGTCCCTTTTCGACGTTGCTTCGATTACTTGCGATGAAGACTACTTGAGTGACGATCGCAGCATTATCCTTCCATCAAGCGTGTCACTGTGTGACTACGGCATTTGGCTGATATGTTACACAAGAGGGTACGCGTGTGGTACATGGGCAGTCGATCGACGCGACGGGTTGCGCCACCAACTACTTTGGAAACATCTCGAAGGCTGGGATACCTAGAACGATATTGTTGAAGAGATGCAAAGAGCGCCACAGTCAAGCGTATGGGGCTGTGTAAGTGTGAAGACGTTCTCTGTATCGTTGGCGGTAACTGCTGCAATCTGATCTGATCCCGTTACCTCTGCTTACTCGATACCGTCGTGTTTAAAACAAATTTTAGATGTGGGAGCGAGGTGTAAGCTTATACGAGAGGGGAGTAGTTTTGGTGCTGACAGCTGTCGTCATAGGGCTGATCTCCTCTTGCCAAACAACACAAGGTTACAACTACGGACCGCGCCGCAGAAATTCGCCGAAAAATACATATGGCTACTTGCATTTTGCGCCGATAGACACAGCATCAATGTAGTGTGACTGGAAGCTTCACGCTTTGCACAACCTCTTCTGCGCGTTGCCTCGATACCAAGTGCTGCTCATTACTGTTAGTTCTGATGTTGTCTGTGTAGCGTTTACAGAGGATCCTCAAGCTGTCTATTCTCTTGCCTCGGCATTATCCCCTAGTAGCATCCCATTTGACAAGATGTCGGGGGTTGATTGCTTCTGTGCTACCCTACGCGTCATCCTGCCTCTCGGGTGCGGATGTCTACCCGCAGCAGGCCTCTTTACTTCTTCGAGCGACCCCCGCACCTTAGCATGCTAATGCCGGCTTTCAATAATCGCGCGTATAGATACTATTCCGCAATGAAGACGTAACTTTTAGGTCCATTTCTTCTATCTACCATACCATGGCCTTCGACCTTGGTCAAGATAGCGATTGCTATAGACTGTTTTGGAACTTCTTAACAACACATTGGAAGCTCAATCTCGCGACCTGATAGACAATGGTTGCAATCTCTTCTAGTACAAGGCTGCCAGCCGTCGCGACGACAGTAGAGAATGGGGCCTTGACGGCTATACCTACCTTTGTTCCTCTAGGCTTGACATCTCCGCCAATATCTCGTCGTGCTTCTAGATTGCTGTTCAGACACATAGAGCTGGACCACCCCCAAACATTGATCAGAATATATAATGCAAAGCTTCACATCCGCGACTCAAACACATGCGAGTGTTGATATGCGATTCCACCACCGAGCACAACCAAGCCAAGCCGGACATGTTCCCCGCATAGCGACTCGAACAACTCGTGCATATGAGCCCAAGCTTTTCAGGTATAGAAATCCTGACTTCGGTGCTACTCCCGGCCTTAAACCACGGACTATCTAGGCGTCGCTATACCTTTTTTACGATTGCTTTTATTGCTTCGCTGTCTCAATTCGCTATCTCTTATCTAGCGTTGCTTTCTCCCCTGCTCATCACCCCACGTCTTACGCCCAGGCATAGCCCGCCCCCAGACCGCGACATTCATCATGAGAAGAATATAAGCTTTGTAGTTACTGTGTTGTCGACTTGGCGCGATGCGATAAGCCTTTTTGCCAAGTGCTTCCCTCAACAGCGTGGCTACTTGTTCCGACTATATTACCCGCCGCTCACTCGTGCATTGCTTTGTAGTCAACTGCACCACCAAAGAAATCCAGGAATCATGGAGTCGAAGATAGAAAAACATCCCACTCCACACATCGCTCACGATGTAGAGACAAAAGGCAAGTCCTCGATTGATGCAGACGCTCTCAAGCTAGCAGAGATGGGCTACACCCAAGACATGGCGAGAAAGTACACCGTCTGGTCCGTCTTGGGCGTTGGGTTTTCAATCACAAACTCCTGGTTCGGTATATCAGCCGCTCTGATAACTGGCATCAATTCTGGAGGCCCGCTGCTCGTCATATACGGCATTATGCTCATAGCTCTCATCTCGACCTGCGTGGGTATCAGTCTCAGCGAGCTGGCAAGTGCGATGCCGAATGCGGGTGGACAGTACTTCTGGGCTGGTGAACTTGCGCCGAGACGGTTTACAAGACTCGCCAGTTACATGACGGGATGGTTGGCGTGGTGGGGTGCTATGTTTACGAGTGCGTCCGTGGCATTGGCTATGGGAAGTGCGGTAGTGGGTTGTTATCAACTTGGGCATCCTGACTTGTAAGCACTTCTTTCCCATACCTTCGCTTTTATCTAGAGAGGTCCTTGAAAGTCTAAGAAACATCTGCTAAGTATTCTCCCAGTGTCATTCAACCCTGGCATGTCTTCCTGGCAAGTAACGTTCCTGTACGAACTGTATGCGAGACAAACACTGACTTTGTACGCCGATGTTTAGGCTTACCAACTCTCGAACATCTTCTGCTTCTTCTTCAACTGTTACGGCAAGATACTTCCCACAGTCGGCAAAACCACACTATGGATCTCACTGCTTTCCTTCGCCGTGATACTCATCACCGTTCCAGCCGTTGCGCCTACACACCAGCACGCTCGCTTCGTCTTCGCAACCTTTATCAATAACACGGGCTGGCAGCAAGATGGAATAGCCTTCATCGTCGGTCTCGTGAACACAAACTGGGCTTTCGCTTGCCTTGATTGCGCCACGCATCTCGCCGAAGAAGTACACCGGCCAGAGAAGATGGTCCCAATAGCCATTATGGGAACTGTGGGGATTGGGTTTGTAACGAGCTGGTTCTTCTCCGTCGGCATCTTCTTCTCGATTGTAGGGGACTTTGCTGAGATTGGCGCATCAGATACTGGAGTGCCTATTCTGGAGATTTTCTTTCGCGCGCTGCAGAGTAAGGCTGGAGCGACGGTTCTTGAGGCGCTTATCATAGCTACGGGACTGGGTTGCTTGGTCGCAAGTCATACTTGGCAGAGTCGACTATGCTGGAGTTTTGCGCGCGATCGGGGGCTTCCTGCTCATCGCTGGCTGGCCAAGGTACATGAAGGACTTGACGTGCCGCTCAACGCCCACTTAGTGAGTTGTGTTATCGTGGCTATCATGGGATGCCTGTATCTGGCTTCTTTGACAGCTTTTAACTCGTAGGACACCCTGCTGTTCGTGTGTGTGTGGGTACCAAAGCTGACGAGATGCAGGATGATAACGGCATGTATCGTTCTTCTGTACCTCAGTTACTCTGTTCCGGTCATCTGCCTTCTCATCCGCGGTCGCGACAAGATATCCCACGGGCCATTCTGGCTCGGTCCGGTCGGTCTCTTCGCCAATATTGTGTTACTTGTCTGGACACTGTTCACACTGATCATGTACTCGTTTCCGTATGCGAAGCCTGTTGAGGCAGGAAACATGAACTGTAAGTGATGCCGTTTGGGCTAATATGTGTACCATTGACGGGACGTGTAGATGTGTGCGTTGTCTATGCCATTGTTGCTTTGATTGCCAGTGTAGATTGGCTGTTTAGAGGGAGGAAGAAGTTTGTGGTTGCCGGCGAAAGGAAGGAGGAAGGGGTGAACCCGGCTCCGAGAATCGTGGATCTGCCTGGGTATTAGGAGCGATGTTAAAGCAACACTGTGTGCGCGTGCACAGTATGTCATATTCTAAATACACTGAGCTCAGTGTCCATAGTTTATTCGGGATTCATGTCTAAGATATCAGTTTTGTGATGTGTGCAAGTTGCCGTGGAGATGAAAGAGGAATGTTAATAGGCTTGGCAAGTCAAACGCGCGCGAGTGGGGCGCTAGTGGATCGCGTCGCGTTTGCATGGGGGATGATTCTTAGATGCACTGACGTCTGCCATGTGCCTTTCTTCTGCGCAACACATCGCAACCACCGTCGTCCGCGCCCTCACTCTCGCCCCTTTGAGCCTAGCACGCTCTCTCACCGACGCTCCTTAATACGTTTAAGACTCGTCGACGGCCTGCGCGGCTTCTCTCTCTCTCTCTCTCTCCTTGTCCAACTACAGCGTCAAGCATTGAACGGGCGCGACGGATCCTCGCAGGATAGATAGCATCTCATAGATAGACACAAGTGCAACTCCGCTGTGCTAGTGTAGAGACTCTGAGGGCGGCCAATGCCGAACTGCGTGCTGTCATCCCTCTGAGACATTGTGAGTGGGGCGTCACAACCAGGACGGGTCTGGGTGAGGGATCATGGCGGAGATTCTCGAGAAGATAAAGTAAGTACTCGGGCTCCCATCCATTGGCATCCTTCCACACCAGACGTGGCTAACCATCTTGTGTCTTGTAGTGAGCTCCGAGAGCTACCCGAAGAACAGCATCTGTTCTGTCCTCGCGTCGGCGACGACGGATCAGTATACTATGATGAAGACGTTGCCGCGTATCCGCCCGAAACCGATGCCAACGAACTCGCCGACCGCAAGCTCAAGCTTCTAGCTGCCGAAGACCGGAAATGGACAGCCCTCAAGGCAGCCGAGATATTGGCCTTCGACGGGGAGGAAGCAGCGCCACACAAAGAATGGCTCGTCAGCCGCCTCAACAGCCTCATGCAAAGCTGCGATGTCTGCGTGAGAGTCTTCCACCAGAGCAGAGCAGAATGGCGAACACGGCTGATTGATTCCTACGACGAGGACAACATTGGGGACTTTCTACAAGTAGTAGACAACCAATGCCTGGGTCGCATACAAAAGGGCTTGGACGAGGCCAACGAGATACTGAGTAAAGCTGAGCCCAAGACGCGCTCAGTCCGCCTGCTACCTAACGAATGCACATATGGTTTCTTCGAAGCGCTTAGCTGCGACGCCCTAATACGGAACGAGGAACTCCTCCAACGACATTTCGATGCACCATTCGACATGGTCCAAACGAAGAAGCGGCTGAAGATTCAGACATACCTTCCGGCCATGACCCGTTTCTTATTCTCTAGGGTTGATAGGCGGCATAAATGGGCGACAGAGTCCTGGTCTACCTTCAAGCGGAATATACTCAAGTCCGAGTGGGAGTGGGCTGTACGGGATTACGTCACAAGTGTCATGATGAAGGTCCAAATGAGCAATCTGGATTTATCCGTGGTACCACTCTTTTGGGGCGGCATGCGGCTCATAGTAGCAAAGATGGACAGGGAGCTGATCACCGACTCGTTGCGCGGCCTTGACGGAGACTTCTATCGTCTGATGCTTGATCATCTTTCACTAAAGTCCGAAGGCTTTCTGGATCTGATTGCGACCATGAAGCAGTTACTAGAAAAATCCCCCATCGATTACTGGGATGGCATGAATGCCGTAACTTCCTCAATCGCTACAGTGGTAGAACAAGTGTTCAACAGCCCGATCCTGAATCAACTCCTTCTCGCAACTGCAGAGGGGAACGAACAGAATATGAACAACCTTCATGCTGCCTTCAGCTGGATTCCGGTCTTCCTGGACTCCATCAAGCTATCCAATCTTGGACCGGCGGTCCGGCCATTTGCACACGCGTTGCTCGGTCGCTTCCAGTCTGATCGGTACCCCCCAGTGGCTCGAGCCTACTGCTACAAGGAAGGTCTGAAAGTTTTAGATTATACCTTTCGCAAGATGGGAGAAGGTAAAGGCATCGACAAGTTTGTTGGGCAGCCAACCGTCAACGGCATGCTGGATCTGCTATCAACCTTCATACAGTCCCTCGTCACAAGCCTCAAAAACTTCAAACACAACAAGGAAAATCAAGAGGATATGCAACTGACCCTTTCGGTGATCGAGCATGCGTTCAAGCTGGAAGCACAGTCCCTCATTATCGAGAGGCAACTTATCTCTGCAAAAGCACCATCGCCCACCCAAACACCGCCATCCAGTCCTATATGGAAGACAGTTCTACGAGCAATAGGTCCAGACAGCTTAGAGCTTGCAACGCATCTTCTGATTGCTGGCAGGGGCCTGATCGGGCTCGAACCACTTCAGATGAAGTCAGGTGTCGACAAGGTACCCCCAGAGGTACGACACTTCAACGATCGATTCCGGCTGCTCTCTCAATCAATCACCGATGTCGTGGAGAAGATGTCAGAATTTGAGCCCACCCTATTACAAGCCTTGTTCGGACAACAGCCTGCAGCGAGTGCCATCGTTTCCCTGATGTTCTCGTCCACAGAAGATACGCGCAACTCTGCTATCGAGCTGTTGAAGGTCATAAGTGGAGAAGAGGAACGTCGTGGCGCTTTGCAACACATCTTGAGAGCTCATTATAGGCACGTCGTTCGGGGTATCTCAGATTCAGTTCGGCAGGTTCGACTCAAGAAGGCGTTTGCACCTGCACCAAGTATGATCCGAACATGCACAGATATCATCGACATTATTTGCAACTCTCAAGACGGAATTTTGCGAGGCCGGGAATACGACTCTGGTGATGCTGCAGCGACGATGAATCTATGGGAGAATCTATGGGATTCACTTACGATGATTTTCGCCACTACTGAAGCCTGGAGCAACTTGGGTTTCTACGACAAAAACATGATGATGGACTTTTGCCGAGACACTATGCAATTCGCTGATGTGTTGTTCGACCAATGCAGCATCTTTGCTACTGCCCTGAAGCCGCCTTCTTCCGATGAAGATGAAACAACATCGAAGACCGCTCTCCTCAAAGAGCTTTTGGCACAGCCGGCGAATGCCATGGAGGGTCTGGCGAAATGGCTCCGTCTTCGTGACGAGTTCTTGTCTAGCAAGTCTGTCACTTTGATCAGCAAGCTTCTTGTTCGGCTGCATCGTGTGTCTATCGACATTGATTCCAACGCTCTTTCATACATGGAACGCGTGCTCTCAGGAGACGTCCGCGCGAAGCTGAGCGACACGCAACAAGCTGAGCTGCAACAAGCGCTCGAGGAGCATCTCGGCCGCCCACTCGTGAAGGAAGAGGAGCCCGCAAAACCCAAGCAAGCCATGATCAGCAAATGGATGGCTCCGGGTGCGACACAGTCACCAGCAGACGCCAAAGCAAAATTGCTTGCTAGTATGACTTCTGGATCTAGTAAGTTTCAGGAACGGCGGGAGCAGATGAGAGCATCTGAAACGAAGGCCGCCCAGCAGAAAGCTCTCGACGATAAGAAGAGTGCCCAACAGGCCGAATTCAAACGCAAGCGGCAGCTTGCACTACAACAGCGGGAGAAAGAGAAGGCCGCTGCGATCGCTAAGTTGAAGGCAGCTAGGGGCGTCTCAAATCACGTTGCCGAAGCTGGCTCAGGTCTTGAGGGCCTGGGTGTGTTAGGCAAAGATCAGGCTGCAAAAGGAGAAGGCTTAATGCATTCTTCCGACGAGTCATCGGACGAAGAAGGCGATATTGATGAAGACCTCTTTGGCATCAAGAAGACCAAAGTCAAGACTGGACCCAAGACAAACATTGTTAACGAAGTCAAAATCCAAATGCCGACGAAGAAAAAGCGGGCTCAGCGTTCTGCCAAAGACATGCGCGCTCGTCTGGCGCCTGATCTGAGCAGCCTTCATCGAACTATTCTCAGCTGGAACTACTTCCACGAGGGTCCGTTCCCGCCCAAGTCCCGGCCGGACATGTATTCCAAGGTCCTCAGTACTTTCCGCACACCCAACGATTACCAAAATACCTTCGAACCGCTTCTGACCCTAGAAGCATGGCAAGGTTTCGTCAAAGCTCGTGAGGAGAACCAAGCTAAGCCCTATGAAATAAGGTTAACTTCGCGAGCCGCTGTCGACATGTTCCAAGAAGTCGGCAGTACGATGACTCATGTTGAGAATAAGGAAGTTTTCATCTCAGAAGGTGACATTATACTCTTTGCCAAATCCAAGTCACCCTCTGCGGATGAGCCAACATGTCTCGCCAGGGTGTTCCGTGTGAAGAGAAAGCAGCAACACATCGAAGTCTCGTACCGCGTAGTACCTGGTAACCCTCTCTCGACCGCACTGCAACCAAACAATACGATTCTGGGCTTCAAACTCGAGTCAATCACATCTCTAGAGCGCGAGTACGGTGCGCTGAAAGGTCTCCAGTATTACGATCTGTGTGACGAAATTATCCGGGCGAAGCCTTCTCCGCTTTTGACCTACAAGGATAACCAGATCCAGCCACTCATTTCTAATTACAATGTGAATCCGGCACAAGCGAAAGCTATCAAATCCGCCATCGACAATGATGCGTTCACTTTGATCCAAGGGTAAGACACAACATCCATACATTAGTGAGTAAATTTCTAACCATATCCACAGACCGCCCGGTTCCGGAAAGACGAAAACCATCACTGCTATTGTAGGAGCTATCTTGAGCGATAGCCTTCGAAACCGCGGTACTGCGATCGCTGTTCCTGGCCAACAAAACTCGAATGCTGCTCAGAAGAAGCTACTGGTCTGCGCGCCCAGTAACGCGGCCGTGGACGAGTTGGTCATGCGTTTCAAAGATGGCATCAAAACCCTCAATGGCGAGTCGCGCAAACTCAACATCGTACGTTTAGGTCGAGGAGACGCCATTAAAGCCAGCGTACAAGATGTGACCCTGGAAGAGCTTGTCAATAAACGCCTCGGTGTTGACTCATCGAACGGCAACGATCGAGAAGCGACACAGAAGCTCTTCCAGGAACACAAACAAGTCTCTGATCAATTGAAACAAGCCTATCAGCAACGAGATACCGGTGAGACTAAAGGAGAAGCTGCGGCCAAGCTGGACGACGACATCAACGCGCTACGCAGGCGCAAGACAGCCTTGGGAACCAAGATTGACAATGTCAAGGATGACGAGAAGCTTGCCAGTCGTAACGCAGACCTGAACAGACGACGTGCACAAGAAGCTGTTCTGAACGACGCGCACGTTATCTGTGCGACACTCAGCGGTTCTGGACACGAAATGTTCCAAGGGCTAAGTATCGAGTTCGAAACTGTCATTGTCGACGAGGCTGCTCAGTGTGTTGAGATGAGTGCACTTATTCCTCTCAAGTACGGTTGCGCCAAGTGTATCCTGGTTGGAGATCCAAAGCAACTTCCTCCAACAGTCTTCTCGGACAAGGCGAAAGGTTTCCAATATGAGCAGAGTTTGTTCGTTCGCATGCAAAAGAATCACCCAGACGATGTGCATCTGTTGGACACACAATACCGTATGCACCCGGAAATCAGTTTGTTTCCTAGCCGAACGTTTTACGATGGTCGCCTCCTGGATGGCGACGACATGGCTGGTCTACGTCAACGACCATGGCATCAGAGTATGTTGCTTGGACCTTACCGCTTCTTCGATGTCCAAGGTCAACACCAGGCTGCTCCAAAGGGCCATTCGCTCATAAATATCGCTGAGATCAATGTCGCGATGCAGCTGTACAAACGAGTCACTTCCGACTACCCCGATTATGATTTCAAAGGCAAGATTGGCATAATCACACCTTACAAGAGCCAACTGCGCGAGCTGAAACAGCGTTTTATGAACGCATACGGTCAGAATATCATTGAAGACATTGATTTCAATACCACAGATGCTTTCCAAGGTCGTGAAAGCGAGATCATCATCTTCTCCTGCGTACGAGCCTCCCCAGCAGGCGGCGTTGGTTTCCTCCAGGACATTCGGCGTATGAACGTCGGTCTCACACGTGCCAAATCGTCTCTTTGGGTCCTAGGAAACTCTGACTCGCTTATGCGAGGAGAATTCTGGAAGAAGCTTATAGTAGACGCGAAGGAGAGGAAGCGGTTCTCTGCTCAAGACGTGCCAAAGATGCTGAACCAACATTCCAGTAAATTTCCGGCACCAAAAGAAGGTTATGTACAACCTCACCGTCCTACAACAGAGGTTAAACCAGAGGTCAAACCAGAAGTCAAACTAGAAGTGAAGTCGGAGCCCATGAGCAGGTCTGCAAGCAACCAGTCTAGTACATCTTCAGGCTCTGACTCGAAGTCTATCAAACAAGAGGTCAAGACGGAAACAAACGACGAACAAATACTGGTACATCACGAAAAGCGGAAGTTTCAAGACATCGCTGGTCTTGATAAAATCAAGCTTGAGAGTAGCGATGCAGAAATGGAGGATGCTCCATCTGATTCTGCCTCCAACACAATGAATGGAGGCAGTGGCCGATCAACACCTGCCGCTATTGCCGATGCATCGCGCAAGAGCTCGACACCCAGTGGAGAGACAAGCAACGGGACGAATGGTGTGGTCGCTCCCCCGCCCGGAGATGTCATCGGCGGCATGTCGATGGTAAAGCCTAAAATCCGTAGGCGGCCTCGTGAACCACCAAACCCTTTCATCAAAAATAAGAAGCCAAGGAACGGCTGACGGTACAGCAACCTAACCGGCGGGAGGGGCCGAAGTGGCATTATTTTCCTATGTGCATGCTTCAGCAATATTCTCTTTCTATTAGCATTTGGCGCCTTCTGAATGAGCGGACACTTTCATTAGCATTGCCCGGCGTTCATTCATATCTTTATGTATACATAGCTATCCGAGACTATCTCTTTCTGGGGCCATATGCCCTGTATCACATCGGACGAAGATCGGCCACGAAACCTAAAAAGGCACTTCGTGGCTAAAATCCGGCAAGTAACGATCGGCATGCGTGCCGCGTGCTTAATCGTTTCCCCGGAACATACATTTACAGCATGTTCTGGGCTCCAAATGCGGAAATTGACATCTTTCGGTCCATTGCGCACCTCGTGTATAACGCGTCTATGTGTGGTCGCTGTGGTCGCGAATGCACTAGGGCCGTGACTTTGTCCCGCTAGTCAGGCGCTCCCGTACCACCATGACGCACACCGCCCATTGCCGATTGTTGGTTCCTGCACCCCATACTCTTCAAGCGAGAATCAACGATCCGTCTGACGCATGAATCAGCATGGCGTCTCTTCCAGTTTCTACCAAAGCGTAGTATCAGCAAGGCTCTCCCTATTGCCGCCGGATCGGGCAAGCCGCATGGCATTCACAATCTTTTGTACTACCGGGCGGCCAATCACCTTCGCACACTTGTACTACATACTTATGCACCCAATTATCGTCGTCGTCCAGTCGCACATTTCCCAGATCGTGGCTAACTTGCAGCATGCGTTTTAGTGCGATCTTCACTATGTTTTGTGAGCAGCGAACTAATAATTCATACTCCCCGGATGCAGTCTTCCTTCCCTTCACGCATATTTCCAACATTCCTGTGCACTAACAGTATCCAATTTCAATATCTTTCGCGACAAAGAACCTCTTCCAATCTGTGCACGACCTCGTTATCGACTACCGGCTTCGCTGTCAACGCGCTGTAGTGTCACGTTGCCTCGCCTCTCAGCACCACGAGCTCGAGAAGTGATCCTTACCCTCAGATCCGCCCCTGATTACACTACATGACTTTCCTCCTCTCAAATTTGAGAACCTGTCTCATCTGCATCAAGCTTGAGCGTGAAGAGAGCTGCCGGTCGCCATATTTTCCACACACTAAAGTCAGGTCAAAGCCGCCCCTGCCAATCATCGATACGAACCCTTCATCTTACCCCTGGTTGGGGTAGCAGCCAACAATCAGCATACTTCATGCAATACAACACGACTGCATCTGCTGAGTTTGTGATCTCCTGGTTGTGCCACGTTATCACTCAGCGTACCCTGCTGAGCTATACTCACGGCTCGCGCTTAGGCATCAAAACGAGAAGGGGATCGCAATCCGGACATTTGTTTTCAGGGTAAATGCCAACCAGGTTGCAGATATGATCTCGTCTGCTTCCACAGAAAATCTTTTGAACTCATTTCCAATGTTCGGGCACACCAGCTGGAGTGTTCTTGAATATGCCTGGGCGCTGGAAGAGAGTTCTAAGATGAACACAAGCGTGACGTCTGAGTCGTCCATGCGCAAGTCAACGGCGTCGACGCAGGACGAAAACACCCCACCGACCACTGCAGGGACTCAACCGACTGGCTGCGACCTTTCACCGCCGGTGCGGTTTATAGATGAGTTTGGCTATCAACAAAGACGCAAACACAGCTTTCTCAACCACACCCCACGAGACTTCGAAATGCAGCCCACAAAGCCATGTAACATCTATCAACCTTCAGGAACTTCGAAGGAGAACTATTCCCGTCCTAGGACATCGCAAGGAGTTCGTTCAATGAGTAACAATTGTACTACCACCAGTCCACATGCCTATAGCTCATCGATAGTGTCTCATACAACCGGAGAGTCCACTCCAAACGAGTTTGAGAATGCGACCGAACCTGACTTCAAGGAGATCTCGTCGCCATCATCATCATCAGACGTCTATCAGCCATCGGGGAAGCCATGTCGACGCTCGTCGTCTGTCCCTTTGGCCAGGGTGCTTACATACGAGCCGCGCTCTGCCTTCCCTTGTGAAGATGCAGATCGCGATGTCAGCATTCGAATTGCAAGGTCACCAACAACTTGCCCACAAGACAAGAAGCGCCAGCGGCGCCAAACGCCGTTCAAAGTCACGACTCCAAGTTTAACAAATGCTACACGACATGCGCCACTGGAACCCCTAGTTGCCAAGCACCGACGCAAGGCTAGCTACGACACTATGAGCGAGATGCTGCCTGAGATAGAAACGGAGCAAGTTGGAGAAATGGGTACTTTTGGAGTGATCCAAAGATACTTCGACAGCCAGACGGGCGGTCCAGTATCAGTAGCGGAAACACTTTGCCACGCTTATTCGCCAGACCCGCAAGATATTCCTCTTCCCATGTCTCCTGAACCACCTGTTTCTGAGACGACCAAAAAGCCTACGGAGATCCATGCTATTGGTGAGCTCGATCTGGATGAGCTACCACCAACAGTACTGAGCCGTAGCCCAAAGCGGCTCACAAACCCAACATTTCCAGCTCAGACTGAGTCAGCCATCTCTGCGCATGGCGAGTTTGCCTTTACAGCTGACGAGCAACATTCGTCTGGTGACGAGAATGACAAGCTGGAAGATAATTTCGACGTCCCGAAGAATCGAATATCAAAACGCCTCGATGTAGGACAAGCTGGCCATGTAGGTTCCTCGCAGGTAGGACGGTTGGCGCCACCAATTCTCAGTCACGATGCACTGACAGCAAGCGCTGATCTGGGCCTGAATGATCTCAGTTACTACCTCAAGCACACTGGACCAGGCACGGATTCTCAGCCTACCATACAGCAGCGCAAGAAGACGATGGTACTTTTCAAGGTCAAACAGCGCAAAACCCTAGCTGCTCGCGTAGGATCTGTGGAAGGCTCTCCTGAGCGAGCACGCAAACAGTCTCCTATTCCAACGTGCGCTCGCGAGATGACAACCTCTGGAGGCGCAAAACATCTCAGAATCGTCATACCTACTGAGAGTCCTTGCAATACTCAGGTGATGGCTGTCCCAACATCGCAGTTTCCGACACAACGACGCTCCCGACATATTTCCATTACGTTTAACAGAGAGATTCTTGGCCCTGTCGCCAGCCTAGGTGTGGAGCGCAAAATGTCCGACCCTGAAGTTCTCAGTCGTTCATTCTCTGAGCCGGTCCCGGTATCGCCGCGCAGCTTGAAGGAGCTTCCCAAATCAGCCGAAGCAGTACCTATCGAAGACTATCCGCTCGCAGCATCACCTAAGCTCGGGCCGCGAATAAGTCGAGAATATCAAACCAGAGCTCGGAAGCTGCGAGACTTGCAGCGTGTTAAGCGAAAGCCATTACCAGGATACTGCGAGCAAAAAGAACAGCATTCCGATGTTGTCGTGGGAGCCTTACCAACACCAGCGCATACACCAGAGCCGCTTTCAGAATCAAATATTGAAATCGACAGTGGCCATGATGAAAGCATAGAGGATAAGAGTATAATTAATAAGATGGCGCGGATGCAGGAGCGGGTCATGCTGTTGCAGAGACAGAACATGGAGTTGACAGAGGCGTTGGCGAAGATTGTAGGGCTCGAACTTGGGGGCGATGATTTGAGGCCTGAAAATGTGTTGAAGGCGCTCAGGCAAGTTGAAGTTTTGCAATGAGAATTGAGATTGCAGTAGGTGAGGCAACTAGGTAGTTGGGTTGGTCTCTTTTGTTACCCCGAAGTCGCAATACGAGATGTCACGATTGCTTGTGACCGAATAAGGCTGGTGCATTATTGACACGAGAATGCTCCTGAAGATCATGACGAAGCTTCCCTGAAAGTTCCAAATTTAGCCCTGGTTCCTGAATGCTTGGCGTGTTTTCCAGCTACTAACAACACATATAGTAGCCACCTTGCTGCGCTTGAAGAAGATTGGAGTTTTTATAACTTTTGGTTTACGTCGCCCTCTGAACATATCGTTGAAGCTCACAGTAAGCTCCTAGCCCTCCTCGGTATCGTGGTTCTGTTCTCACCGCCCCTCTTATCGATAAGTCGCAGAAACGCCCCGCGACCCCCAGTCTCGCGCAGTAGCACCAGCTCCGGAAACAGGTCGATCGCGTCACAAGCTTGTTTATTCTCCTACACCCTCTCGTCTTCTCGCCCCCCGGACTCAACCCAATCCCAGCCTACGATGTCATCGACGGAAGGCCCGCTCTTCAGCTCTGAGCTCATCTCCCCCGAAGTCCTCAAAGCACTCCCAGAGGGCTACAGCTGTCGCCCGCTCGAGAGGAAAGACTACCACAATGGCTTCCTGGATGTACTCAGAGTGCTCACCACAGTGGGAGACATAACTGAGGAGGTACGAAATCCTCTCTTTTCCTTAGAATATGCACACGAGAGTCCCAGAGTCCCAGGGCCCTCACAAACATGCGTAAAGCGTATCACTAACATACTTTCCAGCAATGGAACGAACGTTACGACTGGATGAAGACTCGCAACGACGAATACTACCTTCTCTGCATCACCAACTCATCCAATGCCATCGTCGGCACCGGTGCCCTCATCGTCGAGCGCAAGTTCATCCATCAACTCGGCCTTGTCGGACACATTGAGGATATTGCCGTGGCCAAGGACCAGCAGGGCAAGAAGCTCGGACTGAGGATTATCCAGGCGCTCGATTTTGTCGCGGAGAAGGTGGGCTGCTACAAGACTATTCTGGACTGTTCAGAAGCAAATGAAGGATTCTACGTCAAGTGTGGTTTCAAGAGAGCAGGACTCGAGATGGCGCATTACTACGGGCGCTAAGGGCTGAGCTGGGGTCAGTTGGGACGTGCATTATGGAGGCGTTTTCTAGGGCTTGAAGGGACTATTAGATCTATGAGAGATAGAGATTCGATAGACTCCAGCTACATACTAGAGCTTTCACAATTTAGTGGCTCAAATCTGTGTGCAAAATCCATTGAGTTACGTCATGGCTTATGCGTGCGACTGCTTCGACTGCTCCGTGGTTTTATCGACATTTGCACCCTAAGTACAAGCACAGATAGGAACCTAGACTGTACGGCCGTCATGACGCGTGTGAAGCTTCAGCTAAGAATGTATCAAGAAGCGCATTTGATTTGTGTTCCCCGTTGGTCTCTGTAGTGTTCATTACTCTTTCGGACTGTGGTGGATCGACTAGAACCCATTTTGCTCGGTTGCACTTCTCACACCAACACCATTGTCACCATCACTCATCTTGAAGGAATAAATACCAACCAAAGTCTTCAAAGTCAGATACCTACTGGTGACAGAACCCTTTGCATACTGTCTGGATTACCGCGACTCGATAAACGCTTGATTTGTGCGAATTTTGGAATCAAGTTTGTGGGCTAGTCACTCCAAACCAAGAGATAGATTAACCAGAATGGGTCAAGACGAACAAACAAGGAGTCACAGAAACGAATCGTCCATTACCGAGGCTCAAGATAATCGTTCCGGGGTGGAAGAAGCGCAACCGGTAACGAAAGTCGAGAACCGAGAACTTACGAGTGACAAGTTCTCACCTTACGACGTATCCAGTGCACCCAAAGTTTCTAGTGGCCTTCCATCCGAGATATGGGCTATCGTACAGTCTGCGCCAGCGAATATTGCGCCTCAGTATTTCCTTGAGGTCTGTCGCGATTTGCTTGAGAATCCGAACCGGACTTCAACGCATTTGGCACGCGCAGAGCTCTCGTATCAAAGTTTCACAGACGCTACGTTCAACCCCAAAGCCAGTACTTCAGAGGATCTCGCAAGCATTGTCAAGCACCTGCGGCCAGAATGCCGACCGCAACTGATCGATGGAGGCATAGAAGGGTACGAGCTAGAGTACACAGTTGTGCGGAAACTCATACCCCGGAATCCGAAGTTGGATGACTCGCTGATGCAAACCTGTCACATGTTTGTGTCACATCAGGACGTGAACATCATCGGTCCAGATGGAGCTGAGGACATCGTAAAAGCAGAGCGGTACATGATGATATATATCCCTCACGCTGCCACATCGGAAGCTATCCCCTATTACCATCCTAAAGTTCGTTCTTTAGCAATGCTATATACCCACTTCCCAACTTCCTCTCACTCACCGCCTACATCCCTGATTAATGCATCTGGGCATCTGTCTATTCATTACTCTTTCTTCCCGGACCTTCCGATCGACAATCGTCTCTCCCGCACGGCTCTTAAGCTTCTGGAGGTCATACACAAACACTCACGCGGCCGGCAGGCTGGGTACACGAAGCGCGTTCATCACGACCAAATAATTGGACAAAAAAGATTCCAAGACACATATGCGTACCTAAAGGGCAAATATGCGAAAGAATTGATCGAGGGATGGGTGGAGCAGACACCCGCCGAAAAACATGTCTTTGAGGATCTAGGCATTGCAGCGTTTCTGATGGAGCTTTGGGGAGACATGTACAGCTCCAAGAACGGTACACACAAGCAAGATGACGGAGATGAGCAGGTGGAGCAGAAAAGGCAAATAGCACAGGCCAACTTTCCGGGCTTTGTAGATATTGGATGTGGAAACGGTCTTCTCGTCCACATTCTCAACGCCGAAGGCTGGCATGGTTGGGGCTTTGACGCCCGTCGCAGAAAGACATGGGATACATTCCCACCAGAACACGCCCAAAAGCTGCAAGAGATGCTTCTGGTGCCGAAGATTGTTCAGCCATATTCTTCAACCTCGACTGATCCTCCAACACCACACCACAATGGTGTCTTCCTGTCCGGCACCTTCATCATCAGCAATCACGCCGATGAATTGACACCTTGGACGCCATTACTAGCCCGACTAAACTCTTCGCCTTTCATTGCCATACCTTGTTGTTCGCACGACTTTGGTGGCACGAGATTTCGCTCGCCGGCGCATGCCAAACATATCATCGCTGATCCAGCTACAGCAGCGTCGAAGAAGCCCAAGCAGCCTTCTGCATACGCTAGTCTATGTAGTTGGGTGTGTCATCTGGCCGAGGAGACGGGGTATCTTGTCGAAAAAGAACACTTGAGGATTCCGAGTACGAGGAATATGGCTGTACTGGGGAGGAAGTCGCTAAGGGGAGATGAATGTGGGAACAGCCACGAAAACATGGAGGAGAGACTGGCGTCCTTGCAGAGTTTGGTAGAACGAGAAATGGGCGGGCAGACTATCGGGTACATTTGCGCCATGTGGATGAAGAGTGGCGATGGGCTGATGAAGACTGCGAAAGGCGGGCATTGAGATACATGTGTCTATATCGTTATAGATCAGAAGCGGAACGCTAAGTGCTCATGACCCCCCATACTACTAGCAGTGATACGAACATGGGTCTGCTCAATGCGAGATACCATATGAAGACGCATACATAGGAAACACGTCAGAGGAAGGGTTCACTGAAGGTGTTATGGGGTATCATTGAGGACATGGTCGTCCAAGACTGCGTCATCGCAACTTAGACAAGCGATCCATTCGTAGTATCATCCGGTCATTTCGCCGTTTCCGATCCCATTTTGTAATGCAGTAAAGCCCGACATGAAGATGAAACCGTATCTAGCCTTACTCCAGAAAGTCCTCAACTGCTTACGAAGCAGGAGCAGCACCACGTCCACGTCCAAAGCCACCACGGAACTCGGGCTTGAACTCGCCAGGGGCCCCGCCCTCAGCCTTCTCGCCAGCGTCACGGCGGCGGTAGCCGTCGCGGTCACCCCCACGGTCACCGCCACGTCCACCACGGCCTCCACCACGGCGCTCACGGTCATCACCGCCGAGCATACCCCGGGGAGGAGCAGAGCGCTGCTGCTTGATGTGGGTCTGGGGAACGATCTCGGCAGGGAGGTGGAGCCATTCGCGGAGGTAGTCGAGACCCTCAGGGGTGAGGGTGTAGTAGTACCATTGCCACGAGAAGCGGGTCTTGAGGTAACCACGCGAGGTCAAAGACTGGCCTGTTGGTTGTTAGAACCTGACGGGGTTACGGAGCAGTCGGTGGTACTGACAAGCCTTGACAACGTAAAGGTTCTTGGTGTCAATCTCGCCGTGCTTGGGAAGGTTGAAGTCCTTCTTAGCAACGAGAACTCCCTCTGTGGTGACCGTGTGTCAGCCTGTCCTTATATGCAGCAGAGCCGCGAAAATGTATAATTGTGCCATAGCCATGGCTCGCGAGTACGTGGGGATACTAACCTCGGAAGAGGTACCTGGAGAGACAAATGTTAGCCAATCTGTTGACGAGTATAGTGTAGAGTCAAATGTAGCTCAGCTCATATCAAGTCGTATCATTTCGTGCGAAACTCCGAGCTCGACTGCGCCGTGACAATGACGATTGTAGAGGTAGACTAACTCGTGGATCTTCTTGCGGTCGGCCTTGGGGATGAGCATCTTGACGGGTTGCGAAAGACTCGGGAATGCTAGGAGTGGTTGAAGGTCGATGAGTTCAGAAGTTCGCTGGGTGATAGACGATTTCGAGCAAAGGTGCGAGGCTAGTCTAAGCGAGCGCTATGACCATCTGTTGTGGTTCTGCCAAGGCCGGGCCTGCTCCTCCCCAATCTTCAACTGCCGCTGCCGCCGCCGCCCTGCCTAACCAAACAACTTTCACCCTTCCCACGCGCAACTCAACTCGCAATTCACAGCATCAAAATCTGTATTCGCACTCTGTACCGTAACCTGCAGCCATGGACGCCACCATGCAGTCTCCGATTACCATCATCGTCAACAGCATCCGCGGGCAAAACATCGCCTTCGCAACGCAAAAAGACGCGCCTCTTACTTCCATCTACGACACGCTCTATGAACGTGCGCCATGGATCCAAAATTCGTCCTACATCCTGACCACCAACTCGCGCCGCTCTGTTCGCCACGACGCTGCACCAGTGTCATCACTCCTCTCCTCGCCCGCAGATACCTTTCTATCGCTTCGTCTGACGGTACCGTTATGTGGTGGCAAGGGTGGTTTCGGGTCAATTTTGCGTGCCCAAGGTGGTCGCATGTCCTCGCGCAAGAAGAAGCAGGGCGACGTGAATGGATCATCCCGCAACTTGGACGGGCGACGCCTGCGCACAGTCACTGAAGCCAAGGTACTCGCCGAATACCTAGCGATCAAGCCGGAGATGGAGCAGCGTGAAAAGGAGGAGCGCCGGAAGAAGTGGGAGGACATTGTGGCCAGTACCGAGCGGAAGCAGGAAGAGCTACAGGACAGCAGAGGCACAGCACGTCTTGATGGCAAGTGGGTTGAGGACAAAGAGGAAGCAGAGAACAAAACGAGGGAGGCTATTGAGAAGATGCTTATGGCGCAAAGAGACAGTTCAGAAGAGGAGGACGACGCTCAACCGACCGCTTCTTCATCAAAGCCTGTTCAACAGCGAGCCATGTTTGGCTGGGACGACGAAGATGAAGAATTCATGAGTGACAGCGAAGAAGAGGACGACGTCTCCGAGGAGGACGTGAAGCCAGTAATTGAAGGGAAAGGAAAAGCAAAGGCCGTCTAAGGCTTGTCGTAAAGCCATGAGTTTTGGAGCAAGGAGTTTGTTTTGAGCAGCATGCAAAGGCGCCATGATCATTTTACCTAGTTCGTCGATAGATACCCAATACCAGTGAAAACGCTCTTAGTACATGGAGCATGGTCTTTTGGCCATTGTAACCCTGCATCGTCTCCATCTTGAACAACTAACATACTAGCAAACAAAATTGCCGCTGGTAAAATCCAGACTACTATAACCATTTTATCCTTGCATACTCCGACATACCTCAGCCGACGGATAACCCGCATATCAGGAAGCGGAATAGTCCCGCGCTACTGTTATCGGACATCCGACCCACTCCTTCCCTACGACTGGGCGCCTGCCATGTCATGCCATCCTTTGAGATGCCGGCTTCCATAACCCGTGCCGCGATGGTTTCCGTCTCTTCTCTTTCTCACTTGATTTCACAAAATGGCTCTGTCAGCTAACAAGTTCACTGTTGCGCTCCGCATTGCGAGTAGGCGCTACCCCGCATTGATAGCTGTACCGACTTCAAGAGCAAGGATAGGATGCAAGCATGTCAGATGCTTCTCCCATTCGCCACAATGGCAGATCAGAACCAAGGAGCTGAACGATGATTCGATGAAGGATCTGAAAGTCAATCAGGCGAGGTTGATGGAAGACATACACCATACATGCCAATGGGGTATAGGCGAGCCTTGGGGCGAGTATGTAGTCTTAGCACTCGATAATCATGCAGCTGACGATAACAGGAAGTCAACGGAGACGGGCATGAGTCGACTGGCGCTCTCTGATGCGGACAAAGCCGCACGTGACTGGTTCGCAGAGACCACAAAGTCGCTCGGCTGTGAAGTCACTGTTGATGCCATGGGAAATCAGTTCGCTGTTCGTCCTGGACTAAGAAATGACAAGCCGCCTACATTCGTTGGGAGTCACTTAGACACACAGCCTACTGGTGGGCGATACGATGGAATTCTGGGAGTCACTGCTGGTGTGGAAATGCTCAGAGTGCTCTCCGACAATTGGACAGAGACTGAATACCCTGTCGGAGTTGTCAACTGGACCAATGAGGAGGGCGCTCGGTTTCCAATGTCGATGGTCTCTAGCGGAGTTTGGGCAGGGTCAGTCCCTCTTGAAACGGCACATAATCTCCGTGAAGTTCACCCTGGAGCTGCAACCATGAAGTCTGAACTTGAACGAATTGGGTACCTAGGAAGTACGCCAGCGAGCTACAAGTCCATGCCCATGGCGGCGCACTTTGAGTTGCATATCGAGCAGGGTCCCTTGTTGGAGATGGCAAACAAAAAGATCGGAGTTGTCACTGGAGTTCAAGCTTACAAATGGATGACAGTCAAGGTCAAGGGACGAGACTCGCACACTGGAACCACGGATCTCAAGTCACGGGCTGATGCCCTACTAACAGCAAGCAAAATGATATTACATTCCCATCGCCTCGCAACCGCCAACTCTGCGTTAGCATCCACCGGTATACTCAACCTTAAACCTGGCTCGACGAATACAGTACCTGGAGATGTGTCATTCAGTCTCGACATCAGGTCACCAAACGACGAGACGGTTGCAAAGATGAAAGAGCTAGTTTTGCGCGACTTCCCCAAGATAGCTGCAGGTGAAGACGTTGAGGGCTCGAACCACGGCTGCACAAGCGGTCTTCCACTTACTGTTGAGATAATCGAGGATTTTGATAGCCCAGCAACAAAGTTTCACGCAGATTGTATCACCTCTGTCAGCCAATCTGCGCGTAGCATCCTCGGCCCCAATCAGTCTATGGAGATGACGTCTGGCGCTGGACACGATAGCGTCTACGCAAGTAAACGCTGCCCAACGAGCATGATCTTTGTGCCATGCAGGGAAGGTGTAAGCCACAACCCAAGGGAATTTTGTAAAGAGGAAGACTGTGCGTTAGGCGCGCAAGTTTTGCTGCAGAGTGTGATAAGGTTTGACAGGATGAGAGACGAGAGAAGGGTTTCATGGAAGCAGGAGCCGTACACTTTATAAGAATAGTCAAAGCGGAAACGCGCGTAGACATATTCATCTTATCTTCGATGCTTTCAAAGTCTGTTTATCTTAACATCTGAGACTAATAGTGCCTTCCTGTTGAAACATCATTCGATAGGAGTATGTTATGGTTGAAAGGAACGACTTACGAAAATGGAAGAGGCTGGGACGAGTTAGCGTTGTATGCGACGTAGCACTATTACACGATGCCTCACTCCCTCGCACGGTGCCTTACCACATGCGATGACGGTCATAGTACACAGTTCTCTCACAGGCGAAAGGCCATTGGCAGCACAATTTCATCTACATTTCTTGATTCTTGATCCACGCATGCTACTTTCCGACTGCACTGTGCCAGATGGGTGTGCTTCAGAGCGCGTTACAGCCTGCAGTGCAGCTCAGCCACGCTTGTTCCTGATGGGCGCATTCAGCCCGTCGGCCTCAACCCCAACGTCTGCCTTTCCAATGATCCACTCGCGTCATTATTAGTCTGATATCTCTCTCCAGTATCAGTGCTAGCCTTGTGTCATACGGCGTTTCAGGGACGGACTGCACGCTCTTCGCGCTCAATCTGAATATCCATGAATACCACTCGCAGGTCAAGTTCCGTTACCATTTCCGCGTTACTCATATTAATCTAGTCTGTTGGACAGATATCTGTTGCGACAAGTTTTTTCAGATCGCGCCGTACCATCGCTTTCACCTCTGACAAGCTTACAGGATATACCCCACGCTTTACCCTATGTCCCACAAGCCGCCGGCACGTACGATACCCAAAGATACGAGGTACGGTTATTGGTGGCGCTCGGCCAGACCGATGTGTCACAATCATGTAGTCTCGTGCATGAAGGCTGAGGCTTTGCCTTCTCAGCTTGGGGAACAAGGGTAGCCGAGGACAGGTACAGCACCCGTGGATCATCGACGCATCTCTCGCTAGCATCTACAACACCATAGGAAGTTGTACCATATTATTTATACATAGATCGCGATGCAACTGTGTCTCTATCTCTGCACCCTACGGATTGCATCACTGGTCGTTGCGAAATATATTCCCGATCTGCGGGTACAGAGCACAAGAGTGCAGGCAACAATATCAGCGAGTGTTATCACACCAGCACCTCTAGTACACGGCGATGTCTTCAAAAGGTCTATTGCGACATGCGGCTTCGTTCGCGGCAACTCAGGTACATCGTGCTTCACCTTCTGGAAGTAGTCCACATCTGATCCGAAATAGCACTACCTATCACATGTGCAGAGGACTATGCCTGCATCACTACACAGAACTTACAACTCGGCTTTGCATGCTGCAACAATGTCGAGTGTCTCGATAATTGGGCTACATGCCGGCCATATGGTCAGACCGACTGTATGGGTGTAGCTCTACCAGAGGATACCTGCTCTTCCATATACGGCTCGATCCTTCAATGGTATGTCTCCCGAATCTTTCGCGAAACGACGATTGCTGATTGCAGAATACAGCTCACAGCAAGCACAGCAGTGCTTCCGTTATGCTCGCAGCTCTGTACTCGGAGCAAAGGAAACATTCTATTCGTGGGCATGCGGAACAGCTTCAGATGACATCCTCGTGCTTGCGACTGTTACAGATGGAACTCTTCAAACACCGGAATCTGACACTACGGGAATTGATGACCTTTTTCGTTCAATCACTAGCGGTTCCGGGGCAACTGCTGCACCCAACGGCCCTTCGGTCGCTGTCGCCAACAGTAGTCCACTTAGTACGACTGCGATTGCTCTCATATCAGTGGCCGCTGCCTTTGTTCTCATCATTGCTCTGCTGGTCGGATACTGCTGTTGCTGGAAAAGGTTTTCCAGGCAGCACCAGCGGGACAAAGAAATCGTTCAACAAACCAGGCCTCAACAGATGCCATACCAGCCAACTGTCACAACTGGCCCCCGTTCTGAGTACATACCCTCTTGGAGTAGCAGAACACCTCTCGGTGCGAATCCGGACGCGCCACCATCTGTTGCTGCTAGTGATTATTCTGGTGTCACTGCAAGTGACATGGCGAGGCCAATGGCGACACTGCACGAACAGCACAGCGGCTATGGGTACAGGTCTTATTGATGTATAGCCGTGGAATAAGCTCCGACAGTATGCTCGACATTTTATGATTCTAGTACGATAGAACTGAATGCTGAATGAGCGTTGATAGATGGATGGCGACCTACTTTGTATCCTACTTTACTCTGCCCAGCTTCGACGCTTATAGACACGTTGAATAAGATTGGAAAAGACGATAGTGAAGAGGGTATACACATCCTTCAGAGTGCTGCTTCCCATATCTTTCTGGTAGCCTCCAGTTTGCGTACCTTGTCGCTTCTGAACACCAGCTTCCAATTACTGCTTTTAAACACTTTCAGAAGATCGCAATCCTCTCCATCGATTCCTCCTCGTGATAGCCCAACTTCATTTACAAAATTCCAATCACGACCACAGCGAGCGTCACATTGGCATGGAACCCACTTCGCAAATCGCTTGAGCATTTCGCGTCGATTAGGGTCTATAGTCGTCATCTTGGCTACGTCAAGGCTCGACTCGATGTGGAGCATGTATAATGCTGCCATCACGAACGGCTTACGATGGATGCTACTGCGCACGTCTTGCTTGTCACGGAGAAGACGCGTCCATGTCTCGAAGACGTGGTTGGGCGATGGTTTCTGATCAGAATCAAATTGTTCGAAGAATGCGTTGACTTGAGAGCTGTCAGATCTTGCAGGGATCTGCTGCAAGGTTGATAATACATACAAGTGACTTTTCTATCTTTGGGCCCGCACCTGTCGTATATATTTTCGTATACGTAGTATGAGTCGAGCGTTAGATGCTGCCAGTACGACGGCGCATACTCTTTGATGTACTTAGGTCCCTTGTGCAACGAATAGAAGAGTTTGGTTATTGGAGATTTGGCATGAGCTGGATGTATCGCTGGTGAGCTAACTTGTTCTATCAGATCCCAGTAGTCAGCATTGATCTATATACTATGTAATGCAGCCCATGTAAGAGACCGTTAGGTGAAATCTATCATTTCAATTGATTCAATGAGGGTCGACGCACTTTTCTCAAATCCGGCCACAGCCACCCAGCGCTCTACCATCTCCAAGGTATGTGCGTCATTGCCATACGTATCAGTTCGCGACGCAATAATACCTTTTTTGCTCGACTCGTCAATCGCCACTTCAGAAAGGTCGGGAGGATTAAACCTGAAGTATCCACCCCGGTTGGCCAGTTTTCTGTGCGTCAGATGGAACGTATTCGCTGTGTCCTGGGTTTCAGTCGCAATAGAAGCAATACTCTTTGCAACTTCGGTAACCTTCTCACCGAATCCATGCAATGCTGGCCTGCCGGTACCAATAGACACTAATACCCGAATCTGCTTGTCAAACTCTTCTTCAGATTTGTCGAATTGCGACATTGCTTCCAGATACAATTCATTGATAGGATTGTTGGATCCGATACCTGCGTCAAGAAAGCGCCTGGGCTCACCAGCATGTGTGATTTCCATCGGTGCGAAGAAAGATGTTGCCGCCGACGTAGCACGAGCTACTTCCCAGATCTTGACTTCATTATAGAAGTTAGAGTGCTCGCCAGGTCTCTCGTAATCTGTAAAGCGTGTCGGAGCTCTGCCTTCTGCCGTCAAAGCAATCACGACCCTTGTCGAGTTAGTGCCCAGTCCCCAAATGCGAGGGATCAATAGCATACGTTTTACAACTCGAGTTCTTCGACCCTCTGAATCTGTCATCCGATGTCCACCCAGCGTTGGACATCTACAGAGGTGGAGATGCGAAGTCAGTGTATGTCTCACATGCATTTCGTACAGTCATAACTTACCACCTGCTTGATCGCCTGCTCCATGTACTTTGTCTTGTACTGAGGCTGAACTTTGCCATTACGAATCTTGAATGGCAGCTTTTTCTTGTCTTTGGGGTCAAATATAACGTCCATCATACCGGTATATGCCTCAATACACTGATCAATGGACATTTCCAGTCGGCCGAGCATGATAGCAATCAAACCCCCAGTGCTCGTCCCACAGATCATGTCGAAATAGTCGCAAGGCTTCGGACTGCCAACCAAGGACAATATCTTCCGCAACATATAAAGTGAAGCCAAACCGCGTACGCCTCCTCCATCGAGGCTGAGGAGTCGAAGATCTCCTACCATAGCCACCAGTCGCTCAGGGAAATTCCGTGAGATTAGGAGCGTGCAGATTGCGTGTGTTAGAAGTGGAATCTGAAAGTGTCAAAAGACGAAGGCAAGGCTCAACCCGCATGTGTTAGTGACCTGGCGTAGACTTTTGCGATACGTTGCTAAAATGTACAAATTGCAATTCAGCACGGTTAGCAGCCTTCTGCCTGTTCTGCCAATCTGCAGTTTAGCTCGAGACTGGTCTTTGAACACGGCGTTAGCCCTAGACCCCCACGATGCGACGGCTTGCAGATATCAGGCTACTATACGCTCGTGATACCTTGCATCTTTGCCCGAACGTATGAGCTGGAGTGATTAACCACGCACTCATTTCGTACAAGGTTAAGCGGCAAATGCAAGAGACCCAACGCGAAGGACGATACGGTGGCTTTGCTTGGCAGCTGAACAATTAGAAATTGAATGGCCTAATATGGCAGCCTTGAGCACAGGCATCTAGAGATGTGTGTAAGCGGTCGAAAGCGCGACACGGATCGAGACGCTATTCCAGGGTATTGTCTGGTTTCGAGGCGGTTGACCCCTCATTAAGCTTTGCCAACAGCCTCGCTCGTACCTTATCTCCCAACTCCCCGACGGATTCAACCAAGTCGACACCATATCTCTCGCAGACAATCTGTATGTTACCTCTCTTCCAGAAGCCTTCTGGACAGCAAACAATAGCCTTGCCTGTTCCCGCATAAAGCCCCAATTCTAACAGCGTGATGGGCTGTAAGGCCTTAGCGTCACCTGCGAAATAGAAAACAATGACATCGGCTACGCGCGCGTAGTCCATCTCCCATTCAACTTGCTCTTTGAAGGGCGCGAAAGAGATGTCTTCAACCCAACTACTATCCCAATCATCTCGGCGTGGATTCAGGATAGCGATGGGGAGGTCAGAGAGTGAGGCTGCAAGATGGGTCTGCCAGTCTTTACTGGGATCGGGCTGTATGGCTCCGTAGAGGATCACAGATGGCCTGTCAACGGATGGTCGAGTGGGAGGTTTATGAACGACAGCTTTGGATAGGCAAGATTGAGACATGCTTGATGGAAAGAGTTGATCGTGAGGAGGCGGGTGCGCGCGTTGGCGCCCCACTACAAGCCCCGACTGTCCGGGTGAGCTACGATACTATGATTATATAAGCTACCGGACGATTTAACTCTAAACACAAAGCAGCTAGTCACAGGTACCAGCCCTACCACATTCATTATCTGTCTGCTCTGTAGTTGAACCCGACCCTTGACTGCATTTCGAAATGCCCCTAGAAGTCTCATACACTATCGTAAGCAAGCGATCATAACGAGAACCGAGTTTCCAGCATAGAGCTGTCCCCAAGCCTACAGATTTGTAGGATTGTGTTGCCCCCCTGCCCAGACCTGACGTGTGTACGGATTCGCGGCGTCGCCTCCTGCACCACCGTCATAAGTAACCTGGACGGTCCGCTCATACAAGATAGCTTCCTCGCTATCATTGTCTCCCTTCATCTCGACGTTTCCGATCGGTACCTTGCGTTCTCGGTCGCGAAAGCCTGCTTTGTTCGGGACGCTGGCGAGGGGAATCTCGTCATCGCCGTCCCCTTGCGTTGTACCATCTACTGTACGCATCAAAGTATCGTACTTGCGCTTCGGGCCTGTGTTTTCACTTCCCCAAGTCCGCAGTCCGTGATTGCGATCAGACGAGTCTTTGTTTTCAGATGAGCGACTTTCGCCAATCAGTCGCGGTGCGACGTGCTTTAGGAAGCGCCGCAGGGTCGGTAAGCAACAGCATATGACGAACAAGTTACTTTCGATGATGCTGTGCTTTGATTAGTTGAAACAATTTTAGGTATCTGGAGACACCACGATAACGGAAGCCTTACATCCACAAAGAGCCTACGGCTATGATCCAAGTTTGGTCCATATCTGTTAGAGCTGGGATCAAAACAATGAGGCGAACAATAGACGTGACCATTGTGCTGCCTCAAGTCAGCAGCCATTCAGAGCACGAGTTGCACCCCCGGTTAACACTTACATTGATCCGACGCCGAACATAAGAGTTAGTCCAATTTTCTGTTTCGTCGGCATTTGCAGGCCCCAGATAGTCGGAACGGGAATCGAGATCAGCATCACGTCCGTTACGATCCCAATGACAGCCGTGGCGATATAAATCGCTCCTTGGTTGACGCATGTCGCAGTTGGGCGCAACAACGGGTCCCAACTGGCAGCAATGGGCTTGCATGCGAATAGCAGACTGAAGAAGATCGCGATGTATGAACTAGCGCAGATAACGACGGTTGTCCAAACAGCCCATTGGAAGGCTACGGATGGAGAGAGGCGACTGTAAAAGATACAGAGCGTGATCTTCGTCAAGGCACAGCAAGCTGCATAAACTAGTGGGGCGGCGAGAATGAGCTACGAAGTCGTTGCATTAGCACACGAACAAAAAACGCAAGTAATTAAAAAAAAAAGGATATCAGCTTACCCGTGAGTAGAAGGCGTACTTCTCAATTGGAATCTCCCAGGCGTGTACGCCCATGCTGCCGGTGGAGAAACCAGTGATCAAAATACCCTGGGTTCCCACCGAGCAGGCCCAACCGAGAATAACGAAGGCTAACTTTTGTCAGTAGATTTTCTAGGTCGATGTTACCAAACACAGTACCGTCGTCAATCTGGAACTGCTTCATGAGACGAACTTTGGTATAAAGCCGCTGCCCAAGGAACATAAGCGCTAGGATGTTTTCGACTGTGAAGATGACATAGGCCTCTGTGAGCAGCCTTCTCTGCGGGTTCGCAAAGTTGACCTCATAGCCATCAGGTGGAGGAATGGCGGTTATAACGCCATTGACATTCGACATGACGCAGTAAAGTCTGAACAAAGAATGTGTTGTCGATTTAACCACAACGTCGCTCGGGAGCGGAAGCTAAGGATCTCTCCTGCGAGGGAGAGCTTGTATACTTAGGACCTTTGAAACCTACTCCTATGACTAAAGGAGGGACGTGGTTCAGTCTAAAGACTGCCTAGAGGCTCGAGAGCGAGGTTTGCGCTAGGTTCCCAAACCAGGGGCGGGAGAGGGAAGTGGGCGTGGGGGATATCGACGTCGATCGCACATAATTGCTTGCCTGGATACGAAGGCCCTGTCTCGGAAAAGTTGACTTCGTCGCGCAAATCCTGACTTCGTCACGGGCTTGGAATTACACTAAATCCAACACTAAGCGACGATTCGGAGTTTTTACTTACACAGATATGTTCACGATAAATCAGGTACTTTCATGTGATTACCACGATCAAATCTTTCTACTCATCCAATCAATGACCTACTGACTCCAAACCAATCGAAATTGTATAGCAGACCAAAACAACGCACACTACGAAAGGATTCTCTGTTCACTTGGCTCATTTCCCCATGTAGTCGGAAGATATCACCACCGGCTTAGGCGTTCGATATGCGAGCAGCTCCCCTCTTGATCAACGTTCCTGGGGAAAGGTGATTGGCTGCGATGCGAGCAAAAGTCGATGCTGACGCGTGCGATGAGTCGTGATCTGAAGGAACCAAAACCTCGGCGGGTAAGGCCGACGGCACTAACTGTTCCCGTAACTGTGGGCTTAGTTTTCGGGCCGCTCGCGGCGCCGGCCAGGAGCCTGATAGGTTCTATTTGACCGCCTCGTTCTTGATCATTATATTTGCCTATCATATCGATGAAAATATATGGGTCGATGTCTTGTACTTCAGGGACCAGGAACAGCACATACCTCCAATAGGTTGTTGCAGACGGCACGTGTTGGAACGGCGGACGGATATTTACCGTTTTGCTATACCAGTTAAGATCAGCATAAGAGCCGCATAAGAATATCACTGATCAGGTTTAAATGCCAAGTTAGAGCGGTTTCTTGTGCGGGTACTGTTAGCCGCTGATTGTCTGGTCAATCTGCAGCTATGGCGACAATAAAATCCCTTAGACCCAGCGCATCGGTTCGACATCCACGTTTTCGAGTGTGCCAAGTTCTCAAGTTGAAACAGCATGAAGCTCCTCGCACCGACCGTCGTTGCATCTCTGGGTTTATGCGCCGAAGCTACCCAATTCGGTGCCATCAGGGACGTGGTTCTTGGCAGCAAGAACGAAACTTGCGTACGTTATGTACTCCCTGGTCAAAGTTCATGCAATACTGACCAATTTTAGTGTTCTTCGCTGAAGGATGCTGGACTAGCAAACATCTTTTACGAGGATGACGAGCAGTACAAGAATCGGACGGCGTCGTACTGGTCCGTGAGCGCTCAGCTGCATCCCAAGTGTATTGTTCAACCAGTATCTACTGAAGAAGTATCTACTGCCATCAAAACACTAGGTGCGCAAAGCAACTGCAAATTTGCCGTGCGAAGTGGTGGTCATGCAACCTGGGCTGGCTCCAACAACATCAATGATGGAGTAACACTCGACCTCGGTCTCATGAACACAACCGTCTATGATGCGGAAGCAAACCTCGCACGGTTCCAACCCGGAACCCGATGGGGTGGTGTGTACGGAGCACTTGAGCCTCATGGGGTCACTGTCGCGGGTGGCCGAGCAAGCAGTGTCGGTGTAGCCGGTTTCTTGACAGGAGGAGGAAACTCTTTCTACACTGCTCGTCGAGGTTTCGCCTGTGACCAAGTGCAAAATTACGAGGTCGTTCTTTCCGATGGGTAAGTATCCAAAAAGCTGGACGGCATAGATTTGGGATCTGTTACTAACATGCAGTAGCGAAATCGTCAACGCAAACGCCACATATAACAGTGACCTGTTCCGAGCCCTCAAAGGTGGTTCGTTCAACTTTGGCGTCGTTACTCGTTATGATATGGAGACTTTCACCGCGGGAGATCTTTGGGGTGGCTCGAGAATCCATACCAAGAACTATACACAGCAACACATCGATGCCTACACAGCATGGGTCGACAACGTCGAGAACTACCCCGACGGTTCCAGTATCGTCTTTTGGAGCTATCTTCCTACCATGGAGGATATTGTCATCATCGCTGCGTACGAAGACGTCGCTGGCAATGTTGCTCCTGCAGGCTTCGACAAATTTATGGCTATCCCAGCCATAGCCGACACCACGAGATTGGCGAGCCACAAGAACCTCACTGATGAGCTTGAGCAACCCACTGGATACCGGTATGTTCCATCTGCAATTGGAGAGAGGGGGAGACTACGATATATGAAACTGACAACTATTAGTGACATCTGGTTCACGATGACCTTCAAGAACGACCCTACCGTGTTTAAATACATTGTTGATGCACACACCAAGTTTGTCGATGCATGGAAGGCGGATAACACAGACCACGACTTTATCACCCAATGCATGTTCCAAGCTATTCCGACCATTTTTGCCAAGCACAGTGCGGAACGTGGGGGCAACGTCTTGGGTCTGGATCTCGTCAAGGACAACGCCATCATGCTCCTTTTCGATATTGCTGTCAAGGGTGAAGAGACCGAGGTTCGCGCGAGGGAAGCACTTAGGGCAGCTACCGAAGATATGCAAAGGTTCGCTGCCAGCCAAGACGCTCTAGTAGACTGGCAGTACCTGAACTATGCCGATGCTTACCAGGACCCACTTGGTAGCTACGGCGCTGCAAATGTTGCTAAGATCTTGGCTGCTGCTAAGAAGTATGACCCCAATGGCATGTTCCAGACCCAAGCTCCTGGTGGCTTCAAGATCTCCAGAGTTAAGAACTCCACTTCTTCCAAGCAGGAACTATAAGCCTTAGATCTGAGCGTCCGTTGGTAGCAGTGGGAGCAATGAACCATTTACGGCAATGAAATAAAAAATAACATCTTCAACGCACTCTTTGACCATCGTTTCGTAAAGACGATGCATAGTAACCATTACGCTCTTCGTTGTGCACATTCACCATCTGGATAGCCACACCTTAGACCTCTGCTACCCTACTCTGCTGTTTCATTACAACCTTGTCTCTTAGCGCCTTTGCTCTCTCAAAACATTCCAATGCCCTCTCCTCTGCCCTTGCCACAAGAATCTTCCTCGCAATAGCTGGCACACAATATCTCACTAATATCTTCGCAGTGGCCCTCTTCTTCTCATCTTTCTCAAACATCCACTGATACCAACGATCGAGCCGTTTGCTATAAGGTTTATGCTCCCATGGGCGATTCGGATAGAATTCTTCAATAACTATAGAATCATGGACGTCGAAGTCACTAATCAGTTCCTCTTTTGTGGCTGAGAGGGGCCGGAAGGTGGTTGGTATGAGATGACGCCAGTGGCTTTTTTTCCAGGCATTTTTGTCGATGAGATGAGGGACAAACTTCTCCTGACTTCTTCTGCTATCTGAGAAAGCCTCGTGGGATTGAATGGGGTAGACACCCAGAGCGAGGGTTTGCAAGGTGCCGCCTAGAGCCCAGATGTCGCCGGATGGTCGTAAAGCCCCTCGCTCGTTGAAGGGTGGTGCATATTCGGGTGTACCGCAAAAGCGGGTCAACTGTGCGCTTTCGGTTGGATGCTCTCGCGTCATACGGGCAAAGTCGGTCAGCCTGAAGATAGGCTCATCGGGGATTCCGTCTTCCATCTTCCAGCTCTTGGGTATTTCAACTAGGATGTTGTCTGGCTTGATATCATTGTGCGTATAGCCGTAGTTCTCGCACTTGTTATGCAGATAATCCAAAGCGAGAACCATATCATGTAAACATTTCCATATCGTGACTTCGGATATACGTTGTATGGTTTTTCGCTGCCTTCTCTGTTCAGATTTCCACTTGACCACGTAACTGGTAAGATCACCCAACTCGCAGAACGGAAGGAAGATTGCCATGGGAGTAGAGGACCAAGCCAACATCCCTGCAATGTGTGTGTGCTGTTGAACGATTGAGATATTCTCAATTTCGGCCTCGAATCGCTTGGTTGCCTTGATCCTGTCAGACTCAGAAGTGAACGCATGTGGCGTCTTCACTGCGACGAGTGCTTTGGAAGATTTGTGTTCGTATGCGTGGACTATGCCATCCCCACCGTCTCCCAGATAGTATTTTTTAGTAAAAAGCTGACTGAACCTTCTGTAAATACGTAAATCGTTAGTATCAAACGGTTGTTCCATCCTCATCACGTCGCGATTGCTGAGACCTTGGAGGAAAGACTGGCTCGTATGCTTGAGCGAGTTGAGGTTGGGGTTGGGCGGGGAGACTTTATGAGACTTAAGACATAGCACTGTGTGAGAATACGGTTCGAATATACTACTAGAGATGAGTCACTACAGTTTTTCGTGGTTGAAGTAGTCGTTACCATGTTACCTGCCAGTATTGGTTTGGTAGAGAGGATCAAAGCCTGACATTGGGCCAGTAAGAAGCCCGAGAGTCTTGTAAATGAGTATGTACTCACCGAAGGCTGTGCAAGCAGTCCCGTACGTTGTTGTTATGCTTGCGTTCACACTTAAATGTAATCGACACAGGCCAAAGCTGACTTTACCGATGAATCATCCCCGTCCATACATATCCAGAGTATTCTGTGATGACTTTTAGCGCGACTCTACCCATTGAATGTGAGAAAGTCGAGGCACACGATAAACGATTTGATGTGTGCAATACCTTCGAATGAAGACGACGTGCTGATGTTTGTAAGCAAAGCAGGATATCATAAGGCATACTAGCTGATTTATGCAATCACGGCGATACTGTGCATTCGATACAGGACTTTCATTATACTCTTATTCTTCTTTCCTTCTGGCCCGTTGTCTACGCACCATCTTTCTTCCTCTGCCCCACAAAAAACCCTAGTCCAAAATCATCCGTCTTGAACGTGATTTTGCTCCCTTTTGGGAAGAAGAACACATCACCCTTCTCGGCTTTGACTTCTTTGCCCGTTTCGTCACTGATGTAGAAGTGCCCATCAACGATGATTTTTATCTCATCATACGTATACGTGTACACGAGCGGCGTTCCCTTCTCCAGACGGTAGAAACCACCGCTGATGGGTTTCTCTGGATCTGTAGACTCCCTGGTAGAGAACAGTCAGTGGTGGTGGGTTGATAGAATATAGGTAGGGCAAGCATACGATGATACGACGTCACCGAGGTAGGCGTTTTCGTTGGCGATTAGCGGCGGCTTGAACGTTGTTTGTGCCTTCTCGAAGTACTGCATCGCTGGCATGGTGGCGGCTGGTATAGCAGTACTCTGTGATATATGAAGCAAGGGTGTGGCTGTCTGTTGTTAGTGAAAAGTTACAAAGTCCAAGTTCGGTGAGCTTGACGCACAGTGGCACGAAGTAAGGTATGCTGCTTTTGATCCTATAATTCGTATTGTATTGTGTAAGACCCAGAAGATGACTGGAGCTATGCAGTGTCCTAAAGGTCGCCGTACGTGGAACTTACAAGAGCATGGCCAGCTTTATGTACGCCAATCTTACTTATCGTGACCCAATAATCAAGACTAACGGCATCATCATTTACCAACTGCGCCCTGTCAAACGGAGCTTCCCTTCTTCCGATATCCAGTTAACCGCTATATTAGCATAGAGCAGCGTAGTATCTGGGACTTTAATACTAGATGCGGCGCTTGGCTTGCACCAAAACCTAGCTGATCTGGCTAGGTTTTAGTTAAGCTTTGCCACGATACCCACTGCTTTACGTCTATTAGTGCGCTCTGCGAGGGATGAGCAAGACGGCTCCAAGGTGTTGGAAGTGTACGCGGATAGTGGGGTGATGTAGGTGGGGCAACAAGATGCAATGTGCGATTGGCTATTATCTTATCGTCAGGAAAAGATTACTCCATCTGGGATCCTGCATATGTGGGTTAAGGCTCAAACGAGGCTTCCGAGTATGACCGGGTTAGCTTTCGTAAAGTGGACGTTCTTCTTTCCTATGAGGGGTAGTCATATTGCGCAGCAATCATTGGTATTGCGTGTCTGAAATGCTGATAATACATTCTGGGTATATTCAAATTGCTGCAAGTTGTAATAAATAATGTCATGTAGGTCGTTCTTCTTCATGGTCTTCATCTTCTCTCCACTTCTTGCGCCACCACTTCAGCTTGAACCAGTCTCCTAAAGCATCTTGGCTCTTGCTCCTCTGGCCGTATCCCCAAGTCTGTCTTCTCCGGGATGTATCTTCCATGTCTGCGTCAGATGTATCGCCGTCATCTGGATCGGGATGATCAAGAAGTGATGCAGAGCTATTCATGGGCTGTTTTCCCTGCGACACACTTCTGCCTCGCCCGCTACCGAACCCTTCGAACCAAGACCGCCGACGCATCTGATTGAGCCATGCCGACTGTGCATTGTTTCTCCGTGGCGGTAGGGTTCCTGACCTTGGTCGTCGCTCTAGATCCACAGATCGCCTGGCAGGAGATGGCAGAGTCTCTCTGTCGTTGAGTTCATCCCAGATCTCGTTTGTCTCTTCTGAAATAGTCATCCGCCGTCTTCTTTGGGGTCTGCGGGAATGTGTTTGAGGGCTCTTCGGTTCACCAGCGTCTACCGATGCTCGCTTCTTCGGGTTGGTGAGGATAAGAGCGGGACCGGTTGGGGCGCGAGCTAACAGTGGTGTTCTTTCATCGACAGCTTTCCGTTTGGCTTGTTCGGAGGCATAGCCATGAGCGCCAGGGGCTTCTTCGTCGATATCCACAGGTGACGCAGGGTCGTCAAGAGGGTGGCCGTGCGCAAGACCAATACCGGGTTGTAGCACTGTCTGGGGCATCTGAACTCTGCCCGTATGCTTGCTTGCGATTGGTGATGTAGGTTCTTCCTCGTTGTCTTCGAGACGCCAGCTCAGGCAGACAACTCCAGCGAGCAGTATTATAGTTCCGAGCGCAATCAGGCCGGCGTGCAGACTCGACAAGCGATCGCTTTGGTCGAAGTAGATCAGGCCATCTATGATTGCGATGATGTTGTAGACACAGAATACTAGAGGATAAAGCACACTCGTGCTGACCAACTTCAGTCCGCGATGCATGTAGTAGAGTTGGGTCAGGGCGAAGACGACTAGTCCAACCAGAATCATCCACGACTGCCAACGGTCAAACTGGTTGTGACGATCAATGATAGTCCGGACCAGAAGCTCGACAGCACTCTTCGCGATGAGGAGCGAATGCGCCGAAAGGATGCCACTGACGCAGCCAAAGAACATTCCACGGATAAGGCGTAATCGAGGGGTGGTCCGTGGATGCATGCGCTTCAGTAGCCACGTCGCAAGGACCAGCATGACGACTACCACACCCGTCAAGATCATCCATGTGAGGAAAGCTTTCCGTCCCAACAGCCTCAACAGTTGGTCGAGATTATGCGACGGTTCTGCAATGGCACCAAACAAGGCTATCAGCAGTGCGCCTATGGCAACAAGCATGGTGCCAACAAAGGAGTATCGCGTAAACGGTTCGCTGAGAATGATGGAGGCGCATATCGAGTTGAAGACGAGGCCGGATGCCTGTAGGGTGGAGAGAACGGGAAGGGGTAGGGTGGTGATTTGGATGGTGCTGCCGACGATGTTTGCCACGACGAACATGAGCATGCCCAGCTGCGTAGATTAGTGAGTGAATGCTATGTGATCTGGCCGTGTTCGTACCTGCCATCTCCGCCGCTTGTATGGAGGTCGCCTGTCGTCGTCGTCGTCCTTTTCCTCTTCTAGGAGATGGGACTTGCGTTGCAGCGTCAAGCCGATGCTCTGAATGCTGGTGGAAGCGAGTCCGACCATCACCCCAAGCTGCATGCCCACGCGTTAGCACTCTATACCCACGGCGGCATGGCTCCATGTATACTGACAGCAACGCTCGCGCCCGGCGAGAGTTCCACCATATTTCCTTGTCGGTTGTCGTCGCTGCACTGCGCCTATCGCTACCTAGATGTCGGGCGCATGCTGTGTGTGGGGTGTGTGGAAAGTCGGGAACGTGTATTCTTCTGTCTCGGACAGCGCAGGCGTGGGAGTCGCGAAACGTCACGCTGAGTCGGTGAAGTGCACGAGACGGTTGGGGAAGACTAGCCGACGCCGTGCATGTGGCAGGGATCAGCCGACTGATGATGTAGTTGGGTCGACGAGGACAGCGCGGGTGCAGCAACGAGAAGATGTCGCGTCGGTAGAGAAACGTTATAGCAGAGACGTATAATTGCGATGATACCCTTGAGACTGTTCTCACGTCCATCTGCGACGTCGTGCCATGCATCGCTCGAGGGCGTACCTGGGTAACCGCGGGCAGCATCTGGGGCCCAAGCTTGAACATCAACCTCCAAGCTCCGTCACTCGCGATACCCTCGACGCCAGCACCCATATATCTCCTCCCCCGTAAACCAGAGGACCCCCACACAATACCGCCATCATGTCGCAAGTACACGCCCTCTCCGACGACCAGGTACGATTCTCCGCCAGCTTCAGCCAGCTGCAAGCTCCCCACCCACTACGTCAACACCACAGCTAACACTGACCCCGATGGCAGGTCGCCGGCGAGCTGAAGAAGATGACAGCCTTTATCCGCCAAGAAGCCATGGAAAAGGCAAACGAAATCCGCCTCAAGGCCGACGAGGAGTTCGCCATCGAGAAGTCCAAGCTAGTGCGCCAGGAACAGGCCTCGATTGACTCGTCGTATGAGAAGAAGTTCAAACAAGCCAGCATGTCGCAGCAAATCACCCGCTCCACCGTCTCCAACAAGAGCCGATTACGCATTCTGTCTGCCCGCCAGGAGCTGCTCAACAAGCTGTTCGAGCAAGCCGAGAAGAAGCTGGGCGACGTTTCAAAGGACAAGAAGAAGTACCAGAGCATCATGAAGGACCTGATCGTCGAGGGTGCCTATGCGCTCAACGAGGACAAGCTGCAGGTCAAGGTGCGCAAGGCCGACTACGACCTCACTAAGAAGGCCATCGAGGAGGCGCAGACCGAGTACAAGAAGAACATTGGCAAGGAAGTCTCCATCACCATCGATGAGAGCGACCCACTGCCTGAGGGATCGTAAGTTTAGTTACTGTGGAATATTCGACATATGGCTAATTCTAAACAGTGCTGGTGGCGCTATGATTGTTGGAACTAACGGCCGAATCGACATCAACAACACTTTCCAAGAACGATTGAAGCTACTCGAGTCCCAGGCCCTGCCATCCATCAGGGTCACACTTTTCGGAGAGAACGAGAACAGGAAGTTCCACGACTAAGAGACTAGCGTGGGCGTCGGTTACTATGAGCTGGCTTGTGATCAGACTGGAGTGTTTGGCCGTCATGGAGCACAGGCAGGAAGGGGTCTGCGTCGGACTGGGAGAATCGGCTTTTGCTGAGTAGACTGTACATGCACGAGGTCTTGTAGACTACTCGGAACTTTTAGCGAGCTTTATCACATGCACATTACCACATCGATCATTATCTCAGCAACCAAGTTTCATTTTTGACATTATGGTGATATGAATTCTTGCCTGGGCTAACTGCTGAGGCTCCTATATATATATATATATACTGCGAAGGAGGGTATACAAGAACAAAATCAAGAACATGCGTACAAAGACGCTGTGTATCGTCGCTTCAAGGAGTGGATATCATCAACACTCATACTCCTTAAAAACAAAACGCCAATGCCAGATCATAGCATGCAAAAATGTCCATATGTACAACAAAGGAAATCGTTCGTTACCATGCATCATACACGTTCATAAACACGATCCCACATGGGACTTCTCGTCCTCTTCTGACCACCGCCGCCCATGACGTTTCTCAATGGCCATTCTGTCTTGCTGCTCTTTCTCATTGGCGGATTGGGGTCTGGGTACCGATCTAAAGTCCTGTGTCCGCCATACAGCTCGTCATCCTGGTCGTTGTACCCATCGTTCGAATACTCAGGGCCGTAATCCTCAAGATAGGAATATCCGCCTGCAAAGGGGTTCGAAGACGTTTTCTGGTGCGTAATGGGTGAAATGGGCGCGGAATCGTCTGAGTGGTATACGTGCCCAGAGTTGGAAGACATACTGGAGACGGCAAGACCGGAGGAACTGCTACCACTATGATCGGCGGTGTTTTGTGCCAGAGAGGGTCGGAGGAGGCCTCGGGATGCTTCCGCTGCAGGGCTACTGATCGGACTTGTGGGTACAGGCTTTCGCTTTATGCTCGCTACGGCGGGGACAGGGAGCGTGTCCAAGGCAGACATACCGGGTCTTCGAGGACCTGTCTTGGGGGGTGAGTTGTGAC